GAAATGCAGTCCTCATGGTGGCTCACAGTCGCACAAGTGTTGTTGGGGGCTACCAGTAACTAAAATAGAGGGCTTGTTGTTTCGGTGATCTTCAGCCTGCTGGGTGTCGCCCTCACCTCTAGGGTACGGGTGCGCTCGTTTCCCTTCCAGAAGGCAACCTGGATGTCCACAATGGTCTGGGGTTCGGCAAAGGTGAACTCGATCTGGCACGGCCCTTCGTCATCCACGAGCTTCGTGGCGCACGACCACCTCGACTCGATCTCGGAGAAAATTCCATCACGGGTGTTGGCCGCCGTGCAGCCAAGGCCGCCGACCTCTCCGCACCCGTCGTCGCCGGGCCGCACGTCGTGGGCGGTAGATGATACGCCCACCTCGGTCTTGGTGCCCACCTCAACAGCACCGTCGACCGTCGGCAGGGCCTCTGTCTCTTCCCAGGGGACAAATTCGTACGACATTGGCTGGTCGTCGGTGCTGAAGTCATCGCTCCCAGTAGTTTCTTCGCCGAAGCAGGAGGCGTTCGGGTCTTTGCAGTTGAAGATGCCGTGCTCGCTGCTGCAGGTGTAGTCGTCATTCCAAGCGCTCTCGCACGTGCACTCGCAGCAGTCGCCGCCATCGTACGCTGAGGAACAGAAGGATAGTTCAACAGCGAGGGGGAATTACAAGGCAAAGAGGAGAAGGGGAAGCGGTCGCTGTTGGCTGGTTGAGCCTGATCCCTGCGGAAATAGTTTGTTTGCATGCGGCAAATCTCGCATGCCAGTACAACACCGAAATGGGCGAGCGGAAGTAATGGCATCGGCACCATCAACTTCAAACAAATAGACGCCCACAGAATCGCTTCCGCGCATTTGTTGCCAACATGCACAGATCAAAGAAAGAAGCAGAGAAACACAGAGGACAGAACGACAGAGGTTGTTTCTTGGCCAGTAGCGCTACATGCATAGCTTGGTCTTGAGACAACCAACGCGGGAAGGATACATGGGGCAGAGCGCCAACGACACCCCGTATTTTCCATGCATAGGCATTCGCTTGAGACGGCAACGCCTGCGATTTCTGGGAAGTGTCGAACGAGCTACACTACTTGATTCACTGAAAACCCATCCGGACGCATCAAACAAGAAGGGATTCAGCCAGTTGGGCGAGCAATGTTGCTTGACAAGGTTGACTGTCGCGGCCTATTCTGCTTGGGACAGCGCCTGCTCCAGCACGGTGGTGAACGTTTTCAAGAAGCAGCAAATCACCGCCTTCCGATACTAAATAGAACCACGAGGCTTACCGCATAGCTCGTTGTTGTTCTCTTCGTCACACCAGCCATTCCCCATTACCCGTAGGTAGTCGCAGTTGTCGATCATATCCACGGTGACTGAATCGTCATCGACGCAGGGTGCTCCAGGGTCGATGCAGGCGAAGCCGCTCCTCCCACCGCACTTGTTGTTTGGCTTGTCGACAGGCACATGCGTAGCAATATGTTAGCCGGAAAAACGCGCGAACACGTGCAAGAGATCGAGTAACAAAGCGCCAGGGACAGCGACGTCACCATCACGCCTGGCCGTACTACTGACACCACAAACCATAGCACCGGGATGGAACATCGGACGGGGTTTTGTCGACATGGAAGGCATACTACCACTGGGCGAAACGCCGCGAGGTGTTTGGCGGGCGGCACGAAGGGTACGTGCCACGCATCCAAGCAACGGAGCGTGAGGCTCGTTTACTCCGTGCTCCATTCCTTGCACTGACTGGTTTTCAAGCGGCTACATTGCTTTGCATGCTCCCGGAGACGGCTGTGAGGCGCTACCGTTGGCGACACAAGGTATCAGACCTCGCACCCCCTGGCCCGAATTTCAAAGCTCGGATAACTCCACAGCAGTAGCAACAGTGGCGGGGTCGAAAAACGGCAATGTTGGAACCATCTCGTTGAGAGCAGCCTCATGCCTTTCAAAGCGTTTCGCCTAGAATGGGCAAGGAGAAGAAATCATTCCCATACCTCGCACGTGCACTCGCAGCAGTCGCCGCCATCGTAAGCTGAGGATAGTTCGGGGCGGGGGGAGCATACGCAACACGAACGGTTGAGGAGAATTATTCTGTAAACATCACATTACACCACACCATACCACACCACGCCCTCTCTGTCATTGGACAGCAGTGTTTCACGTACGTTACCGCCCGCGTGTCACAGTCGAATTCGGGCTTCCACGTTTTCTTGACATGGCTCTCGCCTTTCCATCATTTTCTTTCCGCCATTTGATTCCGCCTGGGTGGCAAAAATGATACAGGGCTTGCACCTTTCATGGCCTGCTGGCAATATAGGCAAGACAATCTACCGTACACGAGAGCCATGAGCACGCACCGCAGGCTGCGTTGTTGTTGTCCATGTCACAGTAGCCGTCGCCCATACCGACAGC